AACTACCTGGAAGATATTTTCAAAAATTGTATTCAATGCTATATTAAACTATACGTGTTATAACTTCCATATTCCATATTCCTATTTGTGCAATAGCTTATGCTATGTTTTGTGCTATATTTTGTTTTGAAATGTATTTAATAAATTAAAAATAAAAAATCATTTATATACATAGGCCTTCTTGATATTGCAATGTGAAGGATTCACTCTTTGGCCACCCCACATTTCGATATTATTATGAAAACTTTTACTATTCGGAGTTTTTTTTTTCGTTAGTGGCATAGCAAGGCATGCGGTAGACAATTGTTTGCACATGGTTTAGAATGAAAGAAAGGGAACTAAATCTTTAAAAAGAGAATAAGATATCTAAGATAACGAAATATTAAAGAAGAATATGATTAATTTTGTCATCCAATGTCACACTGTAATTTCACTAGCAAAAGTAAATGATGATGTTTTAGTCCTTCCTGAGCTGGTGAATTTAATTAATATTCCAAATTAACACTATATTATACAGAGATGTTCGAAGGAGTTACTCAATAAATCCTCTCAATCCTAGCATTTCTTTGAAACTGTCCATTCGTTATAGACTTATAGTGTATGCGTTGTTAAAAGGTTATTGGAAATGAAAAATTGTCGTAACCGCCACGGGGGAGTTATGGTAATAACGTAATTCGTCGTTTTTATGGTCTATATATACCAACGATTTTGAGGCCAGTAACGTGGCTTCAATTTGGTCTGTATATTAACAAAACGCAACGGCCCCACAATGCTTTGTATATATAGACAAAGGTTCTGACGTAATTCGTTATTATCTAACGAAAGCATATATAGGGACGAAATTGAAGCCGTTGTTGGATCGGATAACGGCCTAAATTGTGCTTGTATATATACTTCTTCATACGTTCGTAACGGCCTCAAAATGCTTTGTATATATAGACAAAGGTTCCGACGTAATTCGTTATTATCTAACCACGCCAGCAACTTAGATACAAAAGGTATGAATGCCAAAGGTGTACTGCCAAGGGTCTGCACAAGCACGGGATAACATGGCGTTCGTAGGTAAGGGGAATCACTCAGTTTATGTTGATTCAGATCACAAGTACAGTCGATAACATTAGTGCCAATCAATATTAAATAATGTAACAGTATTGATGGTTGTAACAACTTTGTACCTACTAAGTTACTGTTGTTTTGATAGTGGTAGAGGAAAATATTTCTTCATTTAGTGGAGGAATCTATTGTAATTTTTTTTTATTCTTTATAAAACCTATAAACGCGAAGGCGGACAGACACTGGTCGTGTACTCTCGAATGAATTTAGTTAATAGTTTCTGTCATGTTCCAAACCAAAATGCATCCGTCAAAATAAAAAGGAGAAAATGGATGGTGAACATCATGACGATGAAACAAGCAAGACAAAGTTGACCAAAGACGTCTAGATTTGGTAGCCCATAAAGCCACCCAAATTTTTATTAAAACAGGCATGGTGTGATGTGCATAGAAGAATCAACCGGTACCAATCGTCATCTCGACCGCGCACTGTATTTGTATTCAGTTGTAATAAAGTTTTCAAGAATTGACCTCGTGTTTTCTTCCTGAAGGCCGACTAATTTAGCATCACGCCTAGAACCACAAAGCACCACAATACAAAAATAATCGAAAATATGTGACAAAACCATTTGAATACTGGATAAATTAATCAGAACCAAAAATAACATTTTTCTGACAAAATATATTTTTACAAATTTAACATTAAGTGACTCACAGAACATCTCTAAATTAATATACACACTAATATTTACAAAATTTTAAAGTAACAATTACATTTTGCCTCACCTCCTCACGAGTCCTCTTACCAGCGTGGTTAGATAATAACGAATTACGTCGGAACCTTTGTCTATATATACAAAGCATTTTGAGGCCGTTACGAACGTATGAAGAAGACCACGTTACTGGCCTCAAAATCGTTGGTATATATAGACCATAAAAACGACGAATTACGTTATTACCATAACTCCCAAGTTGCTGTTCTGACTACACCTTAACTTCCTTACGACTTGTCAATCATACAATCATAAGAAATACGATTCATATTATCGATGGTACAGGTTGATTTTCTTCTGTCTGGTTTACCAAGGTGTTTTGACTTAACCGTACTGCAGTCGTCTGAACTGTGTGAACTGGAAATCATAGTCACCACCCTTTTATCCTTCCACTGTAAAACTAAAATATCGTCTTTGAAAAAAGGCCATAACATCTCCACACTTCAACTGTTTACCAGAAAATATCTTCCGATTTAGCATAACAGTGTAATTGAAACCTAAATCACTTAATTTCTCAGCTAATGTCCAAAAATATTTATCTTTGTAAACGGTGTTCCCGAGACCTGATAAATGACGAACTAGATCACGAACTTGTATCTTACTCAGTTGATCATCATCAGCTGTACCATCTGCTGAAAGTAGACTTACTGACAATATAGATATTGGACATTCAAATTATGGAAGATCCACAATATGTTTAAGCTTTTGTGGAAATGATTTCACTTACATATACCAATTGACTTGACACTGGCTATTATTAAAAGTGTATGTGTCATTTGTTACTGAATATTAGGCCTACAAAGATCAACTATGAAAAAAAAACCAATCATACTGCACTTCTGGGATGCCGCAAGAAAGACTGCTTTTGTGGAAACAGAATCAATTAAAATATCGTCCAAATCACATACGATCTCTTCACCATGGTCAAGGTATAACGTCATCATCTGCAATGGCCCACTTTTTTCATTTTACGGTCAACGATGTAATTGGACACACTTTGTTTTGTTTTGTAAATGTAAGTAGTTTTTTTTCAAATTTATTGTTATTATTCGAGTTTTTTTTCCACTGAGGTACTTTAATTTCCGAATCTTAAAGTAATAGAAAGTGAAATATATCTAGTCGAATGCATATTTGAAGGAATTATGCGATTATCACCCAGTTCTAGGACTTCCGAAGACTAATAAAATATATTTAAGATACAAGTCACTATTAACTAAACCGACACTATTATCGGAAATTTTTTCCAAACCCGAAACTCAAAGATAAGACATTTGAGACAAGATGTGAAGAGAAAATCGATGCCGATAATCAAAGACACGGAAACAAAGCTACGCCGAAAAATAAAACAAAGACGCAGACGAAGCTACGCCGAAAAAAAACCAAAGACGTAGAAGAACCCACGCCGAAAAAAAAACAGAGACGCAGACGAACCTAGGCCAAAAAAAAAACGAAGGCAAATGCACACATCACTTTTGATTAAGTGAAAACGAACGCGAACAAGATGATAGAGATCTCCTTGAAATAGCTAAGGAATATTCAAAGAAAATCCCAAAAAAAGCCTACTTAAAACTACTACTAAAGAAATACCAGGCTGAATTTCACGATGGGAACGTGTATTTTCATTCTGGTAGATGTGGTTAACACTTGAAAAGGAACGAATGGGTAAATAATTCATGTACGTAAAGACACTCCAGAAATGTCACCTCAAAGTTACTTGACTTCCATCGTGTCACGAATACGGGTTTTGACATGGTCTTGTTATGGAAGTATGACTATCAGGGGTGTTGTTTGGACACGATGCTTGACTTCACGATTTTGAACGACAATTTCGTCGTCTTTGTTATTTTAGCTTCTTTATTACATTTCAATTAATTACTTATATATAATTATTTGTATAATTCATGACCCTACCAATGAACCTTTGTAAATGATTAGTCTTTAAGTCTTCTCCTGTTGTTATATTCTTTATAACAGTAATACTTTATTTATATAGCACAAATATCCACGGTAAAACAAACGTTAAACATGTGATCAATAGCACTTGCTACACAAATTTAAAAATTGAACATTCAGATAATATATAAAACATAAACTATTGCACAATACCACAAAAAAGATCAGTTAAATACTCATTTAAAAAGATTGGTTTTGAGATTCTTTGTAAAAGAATCTACATGTAGTTAAAACATTTTTTGATAGCTATTGGTAATGAATTCCATAAAGCTGAAGCTCTTATTTCGGAGGACCTATCGCCGATCCTGACATCGAAATCGCGAAGCAAAAAATTCCTTTTGCACTTTCCATAGAACGTAGGGATTTACCTGGCACATGCCAGTATTTAAGCACTAAAGACTCTGTTATCATACGTGAGAACTGCCAGTGGGCCTAGCAAGCTATCTTTAGTTATCTATCTTTAGTTATCTATAGATATTCTCTGCTATCGATTTTCTTTCTATATAAAAATAGAAAATACTGACATATCAAGTATATTATAGCTGAAATGACAGATGTCAACATAACAAATGATCATAGCACGATAACTCAAATCTTCTTTTTTCATATTTTCAACTCAAGTATAGACCTATTCATGCAATATACAATCGGAGTTATATGAGTTCAAAAAAGCTCGCGTCACTCTCTATGATTATAATGTTTTTGATATTCTAACAGTGAATATATAATGTCATTAGTACGCTATGTTATAATTTTGACTTGCCCAACTTGTGTATACCATTACAGTTACTATTGTATTATTAAACATGCAAATTAGCAATATAACATTAAATTGTATTTGATACTGTAACAATTATTGTGATCAGTTACCTCCCTTGACTATTGAAAATTAGATTATAATATTTTCACCAGTTACCTCCTTTGAACTTCACTTTTAAACTTCATCAGCCATGTAAAATAATGCGTCATTTCTGGATATAGAAATACTTATATAACTCTATGATCTGGACCCAGATGTGTTTGATGTAGCCTACAAGCAGCATTATGTTGCCCCAAGAAACTGTAATTGCAGCACAACCCACATTCGCCCACCCACGACATTGAATCCAATCTTCATTGCTGGTGGAAAAAAGCTCTGTCATGTGCTATATAATACATGGGAGTGTTTTGAGTTGACCTTTTACTTGATTTTAATTTTCTTCAAGGACATTTTTATACGACGATGATCATGGTAGATGACTGCTTTTCTTATCCTGGGTGCTGCAGTTTTTACTTATTAGATGTTCGAAAAACGAGCGAATTTAGCGCAACAGATCGGGGAAAACAAGATAAAGTCGATGACGATGGAGCAGGTGTCGAGAACGATGGATCAGGTGTGGATGACGATGGAGAAAGTCTTGAAAACGATGAAGCAGGTCTCGATGATGATGGAGCGGGTGTTGATAACGATGAAGCAGGTTTCGATGACGATGGAGCAGGTCTCGATAACAATGGAGTAGTTGTCGATGAAGCAAGGAACGATGATGATGGAGCAAGTGTCGATGACGACGAAGCAAGTAACGATGACAATAGAGTAGATACCGATGGCGATGGAGCATGTGCCGATGATGATGATGCAGATGATGAACCAGGTGCTGAGGACGATGTAGCAAGTGTAAATGACGATGCAGCAGATGTTGGTCTTGGTGAAGATATCGAAGGTGCCAATGCCGATGTAGGTAATGAATGTGTACAACAAGTTCATGTTCGAACTCCACCAGAATTTACAGATTTCCTGTACTTCTAGTACTTCAAAGTGACAACTACAACTACTTCTAGTTCTATCCTAATGGCTGAAATATTCAACACGACAACCAGATAATAAACCTACAACCATACTGCCACTTATGCCTCTCATATCATCAGACGCCACTACCAGAATCTTCGAGACCAATATCCTCATGTCTACAGCAAGAGACATGTTACAGCTTACAGAAGAAATAAAAATGTCAGCAATATTTGTTAGACTAAACCCTCAATAATCTTAAAATTTCTGACTTCTTTTCTTTAGAATTTACTATTCATATTAATGCTTCTTATTTCCTTATAGGTTCCACAATACAGGATTTATCTTCAGATGATTAATGATATATCAGAAGAACGTTTTCAGCTACAACATATCTAAATATCTTAGCCTTTCACTTGCACCTTGTTTTAGCATAAATCTTTACCCTGTGACGTAGACCAGTCCTATCATGATACTATGTTCTCATCACCATCTAACACACTTGTTCACAACCATTTTAAATCACTACCTCGACAAAGAGTCAGATTTTTATACACCCACGCATATATTTTGGGTGTATATTGTAATCATCCCGTCGGTCCGTTCACATTTGGCTCATGTTCACTCTATAGGCAACAATTCTTTACAGATTTTTCTGATTTTTATTTTGTATGTCCATGTCATAATGAAGATTATCCCTATCAATTTTCGTCATCTGATAATTTTTCACCGAAATATCGTGTCCGACTGTATTCACTCTATTAGCCATATTGTGCAACTCTGCTCACTCTACATGCAACAAATCATTATGGATTCTTTCATTATGGATTATTTTGCTTTTTATTTTGTGGGTTAAGGTCATTATACAGATGATCCCTATCGAATTTCGGGATGATCTGATTATTTACCCTGACATATCGTGTCCGACGTAGCGTTTTCAATCTATTAGCTATATTGTGCAACTCTTGCTCAGTCTACAGGCTACAATTTTTTTTACAGATTCTTTGGATTTTTATTTTGTGGATCGATGTCATTATGAAGATGATCCCTATCGATTTTCGTGATGATCTGATAATTTTTCGCTGAAATATCGTATTTATTTTCCCTTCACACAAGACATTTTTTATGGGTGTAAAAATCTTTTTTTTTAGTATTTTTATTGAACGATAGTTAGATTAGTATGAAGGGGAACACTGAGGGAGAAATATGTCTTGTGTGAAGGGAAAATATTCAATGAAACGAATCATATAAGGTTGGAATTATGTTTCATTACGGTAAATGGTAGAAAATAGAGAGAGTTGATAGAAACAGAAGCCTGTGCCTAAGAACACTAAAGATTACCTTTCTGTATTCTTTTGATATTTGTTTGTATGTAAATATATCGAATTTCGTCATAAGATTGATATTTGAGTAAAGAATTGATTTAATGTTTCGCAATGTGTTCAATATTCACAATTCTTTATCTTGCAGATACATATACATTGTTTTCTCTTGGTCAGATAAAACTGTAGTCTCTGTCATGCCTACAATCAAAAATTTACGCGTTTTTACTCAATCAAGGGTAAAAACTCTGAAAACGTTCTTCATGTTATTATCAATTTCGAACTTGACTGATATCTCATCAATATATACATACATACCAACTTCTATCAAGATCGGATAAAGACTGTGGTCTCTATCGTGCCTACAAGTCAAATTTGACTCGTTTTTCTAAGTTAAGGGCGATAACTCTGAAACCGTTCATCTTAATATTACCAATTTCGAACCTGACCGAGATTACATCAATATGTACATGCATGCATGCATTCATCAAGATCAGATTAAAACTGTAGCCTCTATCACGCCTACAAGAAACGAGAACGGACAGGGGCGACGGCAATATTTCAATGTGGGCGTATAAAAACCGTAGTCTCTATTCTATTCGAACTTGTCGAAGATAAAATCATCAATATAAATGATCACATCCTATTTCATTAAAATCAGATAAAAACTGTAGTTAGGCTATCTATTCTGTTCACAAACAAATGTTAATACAATTTTCCTATCAAAATCGTCAAATCCAAACTTGACCAAGATCTCATCAATAACAACACCAATTTCATTAAAATCAGATGATAAATGTAGTTATCTATTCTGTTCAAAAACGCGAGGTTCGTTTTGCGGTTTGGAAGTTCCCGGTACTAGTCATAACGTCATTTTGTACATACCTAATAAATTGGTGGGCAAGGACTGCACAATGGCGTCAATGGCCACCAAAACCCACAGCAGCGAGTTTTAAACGAAATCTGATGTCAATTCTTTGCAACCAGAGGCAAAACACGAGTCGGAAAGACTCTACCTTTTACCGTCATGACGCAACGAACATCGCATCCAACACTATACCTGGCAGATTAGCACCTTTAAAATGTGCACCATTATTGCAAGTGTTAGCTCGTGTCACGTTTGGCATGTAGAAGATTCCATATCAACACACACAGCATGTATAATTTATATTCATCACTGTATGACATCCTATCTATCACCGTCATCATTAGTCCATAAAACTCCATCAATATTCAGTAGATGATTTCGCCGTGTAAGCTACCTCCACTACAATCAATAGACATGGTTCACTTTTAATAAATTGCTTTGACATTTGAACTGAAGCTGATTTTGAATTTGATCTTTTGTTTGCGCAGCCACATGGCTGACATGGATCCGCCCACAAAATTTATGAAATTTTATAAGCTCCTTAACCTCAGATTGACTTATAATGTTTTTTTAAGTTTTCCGTCACACTTTTCAGAATCTAAATTCGGCGTTCGGTTCTACTTCAATTGAACAAAAAACGTGTTTCTGATAACAATATCAAGAACCTATATATGCCACATTTAATTCTATCTTAATTTTTATACCCTATTGAAATTAAAAAAAAATCGAAAAACAATTAGTACGAGTTATTGCCCTTGTTCTTGAAAACGCGTTCAATTTTAGCTTGTAAACACTAGAAGTTTCAATTATTAACAGATTTTGACAAACTTGGTGTGAATGTTTGTTATCACCCAAGGATGATCCCTAACGAAAATCAGAAAAAACGAAATATATTTAGTATGAGTTATTGCCCTTATTCTTGAAAATCAGAAAAATCAGATTTGACGAAACTCGATGTGTGTGTTTGTGAAAATCAGACAAATCCAAAAATATTTAATGCCTTATCGCCCTTTATCTTGAAAACGCGTCCAAGTTATACTGGCAATTGTTACTGTACTGTCAAATTTTATTTAAAATCAAAGCTTCCAGTGGGCGTATATTACCTTGTCTGGCAAGCTTTCTTTACAAGAGCGAATGGTTTCAACAGCAATGACTTTTAAAAAACTCATATGGATGAACGGTATGATCTAGAACTGACAACTCAACACCATGACGCTACAAGCTGTCTACGAAGCATTTAGAATTAATATCAGAATGATACCCACTTCAGTATCAGGCCATTATTCAATCCAAACTCCAGAGAGATGTACATGTATAGCCTTTTTTGTTGCGTATTAACATGCCTGACTCTAATTGATGCTGGTAAGTATTAAAAACTTTGAGACGACTTGACTCTTTATTGAAGCCGGAAAGTATTGATGACATACCTTGACTCTAATTGATGCCGATAACTATTGATAACTTTGAAACGACTTGACTAATACCTGGGTGACATCCACCAGCTGGCAATGAAGCATGAAGAATAACTGGGGGTAGAGTATATTGCCGTCATCCCGGTCCGTCGGTCCGTTCGTCCACAATTGCCCGTTAACACTCTATAAGGCACGATTCTTGACGAATTTTGACGAAACTTGGTATGAGTGTTTGTAATCATCCAAGGATGAACCCTTTTGAAAATCAGAAGAATCAAAAAATATCTAGTATGAGTTATTGCTCTTGTCCTTGAATTGCTCGTTAAGACTCTAGAACTGTCTAGAAGGCACAATTATGGACACATTTTGACGAAACTTGGTGTGAGTGTTTGCCCTTGACTTAGCAAAATCGCATCAAACTTTTTCGTGGGCACAATAGCAGCTACAATTTTCAATGGATTTTGATAAAACTTGGTGTGAACATTGGGATTGATCAAATGACGGTCATGTTCGAATTTGACAATTTTTCGACCAACGGTTTTTGAGTTATTGCCCTTGACTTAGTAAAAAAAACGCATCAAATATGCTTTTAAACACGATAGAGGATACAGTTTATATTCAATCTTGATGAAGCTTTGTATAAATGTATATATTGCTAAGATCTTGATCAAGTTTGAACGTGGCTCATTTTGAATGAACGGTTTTTGAGTTATTACCCTTGACTTAGTAGAAACACACCATTTGGCTTGAAACATGAAAGGGGCTAGAGTTTTTATCAGATCTTAATGAAATAATGAAGTATTAATGGTATATTGAAAAGATCTTTGTCAAATTCTAATTTGGCTCATTTTTGATGAATAGTTTTTGATTTTGGAGAAGGGAGGGTTTGATTCTCCCAAATGTACAGGCCTAGGGTGGAGCAGACACTTTATTTAGAAATTAGGATTAAGGGTCTTGATATTGGGTTTTCTTCTGTTCTTATTCTGATCTGAAATTAGAAAAAATAAGTATAGTATCTGTTATGTACTGATTGTTTTTAGTTTACTATGAACAATATTATCATTTAAGTTCTTATTTTTTTTTACCCACGCTCTTTCAGTTTTGAGAAAACAATCGTACAGGCTTGGTTGAAATCGGAAGATCTTGTACAAATTCGATGAAATCGTAAAACTTGTGACTTAATTATACCAGAAAAGGTATGTTTTGGGTGAAAGGAGCTTTTGTGCAAGAGTTGATGAGTATCAGTTTCTTTGAAATACACTTTAATATCCAGTTTATTTGTTTCTGCTATGGAATCTACCTTAAAGACAGTGGTATCGAGAAAGTCTATGCTTTTGTCACTCACGTTTGCCGTTAGTTTGATAGAAGGATGGTGGTTGTTAAGAATTTCAAAGAATTCCCAAAACTGTTCGATAGAATAAGTCCAAACCATAAAAATGTCATCCAAAAAGCGTCCGTAAAAAAGTGAGACAAATGGACAGAGGGGCAACACCTCATGTTCCCACTCTGCCATGAAAAAGTTTGCGTACGAAGGTGCGAATCGTTTGTCCATTGCTGTCCTTGAAGTTTGTAAATATGTTTTACCATTAAATGTGAAATCGTGGATCTGGGTTTCTATTAAAAGCTTTACGAACTGCCGTTAAACCAGTAGTTATCGATATTGGTATACATAGAAGAAATGTCGATAGAAATTAAAATAGCATTAGAGGGAACTCGAATATTTTTTATTTTATTGACAAAATCGGTTGTGTCTTTAAGGTAGGCGCGATGTTGACATGCTAGAGGTAGTAAGAAATGATCAATGTATTCTGACACTGCATATGACTCACTACCACAGTCAGATATAATCGGGCGGCCTTTTCGGGATTTTATTCGAGAAAAACCACTCATTGGTTGGATTTTTATGGATTTTAGGCTAAGTGTACAAATGTCTCTCGCGACAATCAGGTTTGGCAGACAGATAGTCATATTGTTTCTGTTTGAGATAACTAGTTTTGACTATATCGGCAAGAATATTGTTAATCATGTTAGCAGTTTCTTTGAAAATTGGTTTCAGTGAAATGGCATAATGTTTAGGATTATTCAGTTGATTCTCAGCTTCTGAAACGTAATCCTCCCTATTCAGAATGACACAACATGAACCTTTGTCACTCTTTTTAATAACAATGCTATCGTCTTTCTTAAGTAAGTTTAACGCTTCGATTTCGTTGAAATCGTTCAATGGAGATAATTCAAGTTAGCTATCTTTGGTGTGGGAATAAACTTAAGTCCACGGTCTAAGATTGAATGCTGGAGGGGTGTGAGAATTTTGCGGCTCAAGTTAACTACAGTTTGGCCTAGCGGTGGCCTCTCAGTAGTTTTATCCCCAATAATTAGTTTTAAGACATACTCGATGCTTGAAGCTGGTGTATCCAAAACAAATAAATGCTGTTTGCTGTTTCTGGAGACCACTGAAGATTATCAACTGGTTCGAATTCTTCTTCGTAGGGTGGTAAGATTGTTGCGCTGTTGATACTGGACTCCATCATCATGTTGTTGAGGGTGCTGAGGTTCTGTTGTGCTTTCTTCGAGATTTTATTTGAGATGGGTATACATGTGAAGAGGATCTTGGAGTTTGGGGAGGGTTTGTTGGCTGTAGCGATTAATTTCTGCGCTTGGTTAAAGGTCTTTGGTAGCTGATCACGGTTGTTGAGGCCTAAATGAAGAATAATGGTAGCAGGTTTGGGATCATGGTCGTATGATTCCAGGATTGACTGTATGTGATGGATTTGGGCACCGGGGTAGGAATGTATTTCAGTGTCTGAACTGGTTTTGGTAATTCGATTCAGGTTAGATGATCCAATAATTAAGGTAGATTTCTTTAGAGCAGGTAGCTTCCATAATGATTTGTCCTTGGTTTGGTGATAATACGGTTTGGTAGCGGATATAATGGTTGTCGACGGTGTGATTGGTACTGGTTTGGTAGTTGTTAGAATTGTAGCATTGGGAACGGACTGGGATCTGGTTCGAGGGGGGACGGTCTGGATACACGTCTCGACTTGGCTGGAGACTGAGGGGTGGTTTGCTGGTCCAAAAACGCTCAGAATTGTCTATGTGGATGAGACCTTATTATATATCTTTGAAAATTTTAGACATGAGAGGAGTGTGATAATTCAATGCTTCTGGGTTATTGCTATTGATTTAAAGAGATTTCTAAAAAATACTCAGCATAACTGACCCTAAATTGATGATATATTCTTGGTTTTTGAACTACAAATGCATAATGGAGATCTTTAATATGAGAAATTTCGTATTATTAAGAGGATCTTTAATATATTTTAAGTCACTAAAGGTTTGGTTATTATCTCTGACTGCTGCCAGTGGGTGTATGTTACCTTGCCTATCAAGCTGTCTCAGATATATTTGGCGTCAAAAGTGTGCGCTAGCGTTAAGAGACGACATCACTCTTATTGAGGGGGTGCGATTGGAGTTAGTACCCTTAAACATATGTATCGATGCACTAATGACACTCTGTGATGGGGTCTCACAGCGTTATATAACTTTGGGACAATCCACATCTTCCATAATGCTTGTTTGATAAAATCATTCTGCATCATTATTAGATCGAATTAATGGGCAGGTTACTTTTCTCATGATCTCAATATCATTTTAAGTTTTCGGTTAGTCCCTTCAATCATCTGATTGAAATTTCCAGAATGTACCAACTATCCTGGTATCCGAAACGCCGATTTTTATGATGATAATGGAGATAGGTGTGATGGTATCACAATTACATGTGACGAATGTTACAAAATGAAGCAAGTAATTTCATGTACAAACGACACATGGACGTATCTAAAACCTTCTTGTAAAATAGGTAAGGTATTTTGAAATAATTAATCCTTAGCCAGAGATAAATATATGGGTCAGAACCATACCAATCCTCTCAATCAATTTCAGCTTCTCGAGTCAATTAAATCTTCATTGAGTCAAGTTAACCTTTTCAGAACCAGTTTGACCTTCACAGAGCCCATTTATGTTTCTCCAGTTAGGATTTTCAATCAAGCTTAATTCAGCATCATACGAAACTATGTTTGGTTCTTAAATGGAAATGAAACACAAGATCATAGTTCACAAACATTTTAAATCAGTATCTCGACTTCATAACCTTGACCTTTGAGTCAGTTGAAGTTTCTCAGAAACGGTTCATCATATATACCAAAGTCACATCAAGCTTTTCAGAAGTGTGGTTTTTACGATAATTGCTTCGTTATTATTTTCAAGAATTATGTAGCGGAAGCTGGACTGGCTTCCAGTTGTTATTTTATTCCTTAGTTCAGTCTTTTTTGTAAATGATTGTAATTGTGGAATGTGTCAAATCATCAAACGAATTAAAAAATTGAATTTAAATGGTCTCTAAAGCAGGCTAAGAGGAAGCACTCGTTCTCTGGTAGTGGTTGTTGAGTCCTTCATGTAAAATTGCAAATTAAATATACTTTTCTTTGTAGATCTAGAACCGATGTAAGTATGACCTACACTACTCATATTTTCGAATCAAAATGACTGGGTTTGATACCTCGATAAGAATAAAGCAAATTAGAAGAGACAGGTGGGTCATTTTGGGGTGTCGAATATATGTAAATAGTCTTCAAAAGTACTAGAAATGTACGAAAATCGCATTATTCCTTCAAATATTTCTCAAACAAGTATTTTTTCCCAATTTCTTTAGATGTCTTTTCTAAATGGTAGAGTCTCAAGAAAAAGACGACTCGTATTATTAACTTTCAAACTCGGATAATTCTGAACACACATGAATTTGAAAGCTCAAATTTCGACGGTGAGCTGTGGACACGATTACTGATTCCCATTTCTGAGACAAAGGTACGATTGGTAAAAAAATAGCGCATCTGTCCCTTTAATTATGTTATCCTGTAAAATTGAAGAATATCAGATACATCCTGTAGTCTTTTAGTGACATAATATAGGGATACGTTAAATAACGAAACACTATTTAAAGCATACTAGTCTTGTATTCTATTACACACAGCTCAACCATTTTCATTGCCATCATCAGTAAGAATTATGTATAGTACAGTTGTGTAACCTATTTTCGTGGATATAAGGATTCAACACCGAATTTCGTCAAAGTTTGAAAAACGGAAATTTGTTTTGCCTTAGATTTCCATTTCTACAAAATAATTAAACAATTTTTTTTTTTTCGATTTTCTTTATGAATTCCTCACTTTGACCCATATTTCATGAGAACTAACTCGACAACGGCAACAAAATGCGTCACCTATTTTCGTGTACATAAGTCGAGAAAGACTCGTGGTATGGATACTCCGTGGTACAATTAACTTCTATTAGTATTTATCTTTAATATCAATTCATTATAACTGGTGACAATTCTTTCAAAGAAAGTTGATTTGAAAAAAATAGCGACTGACAAAACAAGATACGTAGCGTGATTTATAGCTAAAAGTCATTGAAATAACATAAGAATATGGCCCACATTGTGTTCTATAGTATTTTTCTGCTGACACGGAATCTGCTAGTTGATCACGTGACTTCATTCGTTGGACTACGTTCTAGCAGACGAAACTTGGAATTCCGATTACCGCTTGGGATTATAAGGAAATTCGGCCAATAAAAAATTGTGACGTGTGGTAATAACTGAAATCCGCCATTTTGTACTTGTCAAAGTATACATTAATACATTTTACCTTGCTTGAAACTACTGAATTCATTCTAATAGATGATATTGTACAGGAAACACATGTTTATCAATACAAGCAAATGCGGAGGTCACGCGAGGTCGCACATGACAATTATTAATCCTTTCCGGAAATGCACGAAAAATAGGTTAGCACTAAATTAGGTTACTTGACCGTATAGATATGAATATAAACTTTCAGATTGTCCAAAAACGATTGCAACTTGCCAACTATAGAGTGTGATTTCTCATCAATATTTAGAACCATTAACGGAACGTGTAACTTTCTAGAAGAACCAAGAAGTGCAGCCTATCAAGATACAATAAGTTCAATGTTCTATCCTGCATATGATGACCGTACGTTTTAAACTTTACCATCACTTTACTTCATGCCAAAAATAATCATTTTAAAGGGACATTCCGCCTTTTTGAAGGTCGAATTTTTTTTTTTGCTCTAATTTGTGAAAACTTAACACCTACAGAAATTTGCCCTTGAACGTATCTGAAAGTTTTAACTAAAAAAATCCAACCGTTAATTTTTAAACGCCAAAAATATTTTAAATCATTTTTAATCTGGGACTGCATTGTTATCAAATTGCCCTATTTATTTCTGCTTGAATTACGTCCTATGATTTGTCTATTCCACAACAGTTAAATTTATACCAAGGTTTAGAGGTGTTGATGGTAATCCACTTCCTAGTGCCGGGGACATATCTCAAAAGATTATCACTAGCATAACGGAACCTGTATCTACCCCACATACCAATTTACATCAGGTGTTTGGTCAGTTTTTATTCCAAGACATCGCTCTAACAGAAAAAATGATAAAACGTAAGTGTGTCATTACGTCTTATTGAAGCAAATGCCGACGAATTTTCCAACAGTCAGTCGTGATAAAACGATCATTTTGTCTTTTCGATTACCCAGTCTGTACATTCATGAACATGTATGATCGCTTAAAACTCTTTAATGCAACAGCTACGCGAGTATTTTAGTATTCCATTTATTATCTCTAGCAACCGAATATTAATAAACCAGTTTCCATCCATATTTCTTTCCATATAGATTTAGCTCATTAATATCAAAATATGGTTGGACAATTTAAATACAGCTACATTAATGGGTCACGTGAACAAACATTGAGTCCAAATTTAGCATCTCCAAGTCTTTCTACGTCCACGTACATTTCTTTTCATTAATATTACATGAATAATTCATAACAAACACCTATAATCTAAAACTTTACTTGATTCTATTCTAACGCGAATCTCGTGAATATTTTAAGTAATTTTAATCACGATGACGTTTTATAATAGTCAACGATCAAATTTTTCTTTTGTTTATTTGATATTGAATTATTCAAATTGTGGAATTCGTAGATAATAGTTAAAAATAGTTAGATTTCAATGATATGTTTTCACTGATTAGACAATTTGTGTATTTTGTTTTTAGCCTCTGGTAAAAAATTTGATTGTTGTAAAGAACCAATTAGCGACGAAATCTTTGAAGTTGATGGGTAACGTATTGTTTTTAGTTATTGAACATTATACAAAAGTTGACTGTAACCAACCTCTTGTGAATTTGAACCAGGTTTACTTCCAGAAGGGAGGGGAGGGGGGTGAAATAGCTTACCTTTTTCATTTCATTTCACATTTCATTACATCCAGATTCAAACAATATGACCGAAACAGGGCTTGGGCTGTTGCATTCGTATATAAATGATGGTGACTATGCTCTATTTATATATATATCATCAGAACTTAAAACATGTTGTTTCTGTGATTCACGCTGGTTCTGATTTAAAGGGACAGGTGTACTATTGGGATAGGGGGGGGCTGGTGGCGGTGGTGGTGATTATAGTCTTGAATATGTGTAAATAGTCTTCAGAAGTACTAGAAATGTATGAAAATCACATAATTCCTTTAAGAATACTTAAAACTAGGAATTTTACTCATATATATGTCTTTTCTATATTTCACAGAGTATCTTAAATTGGCGAGTCGTCATTTTAACATTCAATCGCGAATAATTCTAGACGCTCAAATTTCGACGGTGAGCTTTGAACACTGTACCTGATTGGCTTAGCTAAAAAAAATCCCTTTTTTGAGACTAAACATGATGGGCGAAATGACCTTCTTGTTCCTTTAATACTTTTATATCTCTCTACAATCTGTATTGAATATTAGTTAGAATTTTTTTCTATCGTATATATACCTGATAGTACGGAGCCCCTAAGGAGCAATTGTAAACATATTTATTTATTATTTCGTTTAAACGAAATAACATCATTTATTTCGTTTAAACGAAATCATATTTCGTTTAAACGAAATAATTATTTCATTTAAACGAAATAATTAATTCGTTTAAACGAAATAATAAATAAATATGTTTACAATTGCACCTTAGGGGCTCCGTATGATAGTAACTAAATCTTGTATTTTGATATAGGAAATATTCTATTTTAGTGGACCATGCTTTCCTATACGATATCCTAACAAACTGAAAAACAACAGTGATTGTGGAAACTTTGTCAGATCAGTTGGCTTGCAAGACTGTGAAAATAGTACGTAATGACTTATAAGTATCATATTGATAACCTAAACCCGCGATACATAAAGGAAATGAATGGAGTTTTACGTCCTATTTTTATGGGAGAGTGACTGATAATGTGCAATGAAGGTGCACAGCCGGTTTATTGTCCCATCCAAATGACTAAAGGATTTTTCCATGTCACGTCTCTGCATCATTGAAAAGAGGAAACAAGTGAGAGTGAAAACCTATAATGATCATATCGTTCGAAAAGATTGTGATCACGAAACGAAGCATCCGTTTCAGTCGAAAATTTGACTAAACTTGATTCAGAGAATAATTTCTCTAGAGCATATATGGTGAATGGGGAGGGGGCGAAGGGTCAAAACAAGTAGATTTACGTCATCATCAAATAAAGGTTTATTATTACTTCAATAGAAGACCTACACAAAAGCTTGGATGTGTAATCGAGGGCAGAAAATATATATTTTTATGATATTTATATAAGATATTTCACATTATTGATTGGTGTCAACTCAAAACTTTCAAATTACTACTCCATTTCAAAATATTTTAGATATATGATATTTATATATGATATTTATATAATATTTATTAAATGATATTCATATATGATATTCATAATATGATATTCATAATATGATATTTATATATGATATTCATAATATGATATTTATATATGATATTCATAATATGATATTTATATATGATATTCATAATATGATATTTATATATGATATTTATAATATGATATTTCACATTGTTGATTGGTGTCAGCTCAAAACTTTCAAATTACTACTCCATTTCAAAATATTATATATATATGATATTTATATATGATATTTATATGATATTTATTTAATGATATTCATATATGATATTCATAATATGATATTTATATATGATATTCATAATATGATATTTATATATGATATTTCACATTATTGGTTGGTGTCAGCTCAAAACTTTCAAATTACTACTCCATTTCAAAATATTTTAGATTTGAGAGAAGTGACGAATTTTGCAACTTCCTTTATCGATGGATCAATGATATATGGAGCAACTAAAGACAAAAGTGATTCTCTAAGATTGTTTGAAAAAGGTCAGATTAACGAAAAACATGCGGGGGAGGGGTAGGGGTCTTGTTAGAGGTAAATGAGGCGGAAGTATACTCTAGTGTTTGAATTAAACAATGGGTATTTGCATGTAATAAGGAAACTGGTCCTGACATTGAAAGAAAATGAATGGAGAAAAGGTTTACGTCAGTGTTTGATTGAAAGTGTAGATACTATCAGTTACTAAGCCATCGGTTACTGGTGTGAAGAGGGTTTACACATATAAATGAGGCAAAGCTTTTTGCATATGTCTGGTAGAAACAAGTGGTACTGACAAGTGGTATTTCAACTGGTTCTCAAAATTCACAACATAAGTCATATCATGTAAATGCTTCGGATTGAACGTAGAAGAAATGAACATGATTTCCGCTCCTTTTATGAAACCATTCAAAACTCATAAGAATCCTCTTTAAAATCCTTTTCGACACATTTATAATTTTCAGGAAAGTTGAAAAGCAGCGCCAATGGCTTATTACCTGCTAGAACTGATGACAACAAAACACGTTGTAATCCTGTTAACGAGTCTGAATTCTGTTTTGATGCTGGTATGTATAAGCGGTTTCTGTACGTGAGTAATAAATTAACTAAATAACAATTTCGATAATTAAATTATCTCCGATATTAGTTATCGTCTGCAAACGATAAAACTATCGGCTACAATTATAAAACTTGTTTGCTATTACAAATCCAGCCGCGGACGCGATGATCTTGTCGTGGAAGCACAATCTCCGACCAAGACCGCTCGTGTGCACCTTTATAAAACGGTTTACTATATACGTTTTAATTTGCTTAGTTTTAACGGAATTGAAGAGTTGTATGATATAAAGGTCAAATCAGAGCGCTAAATATCTTTGTATGATAAAATGGTCTGTTTCGAATACAGTGAAAAGAACATTTGGTAAATCAAGTTAGTCCAATATAGTAGTAGTTATACTTCTAAATAGAAGTCTAAGATATACATAGAAAGGCTGAAAACCTAATAAATAATTATTACTTCATTGAGCATCTGTATGTTTTATAGAACTGTTTCAGACTCTAGACTAATTTTGTTTTTGTAGGCAACAAGCGAGTCAATGTATCCCCTGGCGTCATGTCTCTTCAAACAATTTTCTATCGTTTCCACAACCAAATAGCAGAAGAACTCTCAAATTCCCGCAGTTATTCGCGCGATGAAACTATATTTCAAGAAACACGAAGAATTATTGGCGCTGTTATACAAAATATTGCTTATAATGAATACCTTCCATTATTGATAGGACCAAGCGCTATGGATGAATATGGGTCAGTATTGGTTAAATCTCTTCCATCGAAGTATCAACCGATCTTTTCACCTTCCAGTCTTTCAATGCTTCTTTACAAGATGACTATTGACGTCAAACAATCCTTGGACTTTTACCCATACAAAAAAAATCTTATCTTTCAGGTCCAGTCTCTTATGCCTCTCCTCTCTCTGTCAACTCTTTTAGGTCCGCATATTTCTTTTCTGATTCACTTTTCCTCTAAGATCGCGCCTATTGTTTGCTCCGCCCTTTTTTTACAAACCTCACCTCTTTTTTGCTTGGCCCGCCTTCTGAAGGATTCACCTATTTTGTTTGGCCCACCTCTTAAAGGGACATTCAGAAATTGTGGGTATTCGATGTCCATTTTTTACAAGTGTCATGTATTTCAATGTTTAATATGATGATAGTATTTGGATGAATTGACTAAATACTTTTGTATTTTGTAGACTAAATAGACCTTATGAATACTTACGTGGGGACATGTACTCTTCCCGTCCATCCGGTACCTTCGATAGTTTTAATGCAGCAGCTTCAAGATATGGTCATTCTGCCTTACCTAATAAATGGACTTACGGTCAAGAACAAATTTCCTTTTCTGAACTGTTCCTGAGACCGTATTATATTCAGGCTGATCAAGGTTAGCTCCCTTTACAATGTTAGCTTTAATTTATGTCCCTTAGATAGTTAGTTCACTAACATTCTGACAACACAAAATTGTACCTGTGTCTCTGCATAGTTACTCGGGCCTTACAATTTGCCAGGGCAAATAGAAAATCTAAAGCCTCACAATTTCAAAATTTGACGCTGTCAGCCAGACAATCGTCTTGCCCGTTTATAGTCATATAAGGTGTAGTTTTATTGGAAGTAAAATTGCGTCCCATCTCGATGGACTCATAAATGGTTCATATTTGAAAAAATATCAATATTTATGCGAAACTTGGCTTGGCTTTCTTAATGAAAGTTGGTATGCATTAATACTTTGATGAGATTTCGGTCAAATTTTTTTTATCTGATCTTGTTGAAACCTCGTATAAATATATATGGATAAGATCTTTTCAGTTAGGGATATTCCGCTTTTTTGAAAAACGTTTTCATTATCAAAAACGTTTTGGTGTTTGGCTTTATAATGGCTCGTTATTATTAGTTGAAACCTTTAGAATACGTATTTTTATACGCCCACATGGAGATGTGGACGTATATTGCCGTCGCCCCTATCCGTCGGTCCGTCCGTTCACATTTCTTGTAGGCGCGATAGAGGCTACAGTTTTTATCCGATCTCGATGAAACTTAGTATTCATGTATATGTTGGTGAGATCTCGGTCAAGTTCAAAATTTATTATAATCGGATGAACGGTCTCAGAGTTATTGCCCTTGACTTAGTAAAAACGCGTTAAATTTGCCTTGTAGGCACGATAGAGACTACAGTTTTCATCCGATCTTGATGTAACTTGGTATGCATATATATATATTGATGAGATCTCGGTCAAGTTCAAAATTTGTAATAATCAGATGAATGGTTTCAGAGTTATGGCCCTTGACTTAGTAAAAACTCGTCAAATTTTACTTGTAGGCACGATAGAGACTACAATTTTCATCCGATTTTGATGAAACTTGGTATTCATGTATATATTGATGAGATCTCGTTCAATTCAAAATTGGTAATAATCGGATGAACAGTCTCAGAGTTATTGCCTTTGACTTAGCAAAAAGCGTCAAATTTGCCTTGTAGGCACGAAAGAGACTACAGTTTTCATCCGATCTTGATGAAACTTGGTATGCATATATATATTGATGAGATCTCAGTCAAGTTCGAAATTGGTAATAATCGGATGAACGGTTTCAGAGTAATTGCCCTTGACTTAGTAAAAACGCGTCAAATTTGCCTTATAGGCACAATAGAGGCTACAGTTTTCATCTGATCTTGATGAAACTTGGTATGCATGTATATATTGATGAGATCTCTGTCAAGTTCGAAATTGGTTATAATCAGATGAATGGTTTCAGAGTTATAGCCCTTGACTTAGTAAAATCTCGTCAAATTTGACTTGTAGGCATGATAGACTACAATTTTTATCCGATCTTGATGAAACTTTGTATGCATCTATATATTGATGAGATGTTGGTCAAGTGCGGAATTGGTAACAATCGGATGAAGGGTTTCAGAGCTATTTTCCATGCTTAGTAGAAACTTGTCAAATTCGGCTTGCAGGCACGATAAAGAAACTAGATATGCATGATGAGATCTCGGTTAAGTTAGAAATTGGTAATAATTGAATCAACAATTTCCGAGTAATTGCCCTTGTGTGTACAGCGATGAGACATTGTTCATGTTTGAATTTCATGATGAACTGTTTCAGGTTTTTGCCTTGACTTATATAGATGATTTTAAGATTATTTGAAAATTCATTATTAAGCCACTAAATATTTTGTTATCATTTCTGACAGCTGGTAGTGGGCGTATGTTACCTTGCCTGGCAAGCTATCTTTCTACAATTAGGTGTTTATATTACTCAAATCCGTACATTATTCTTCTTACACCTTCTAAAAACCATAATGAACTTAAAAACCTTACGTAATGTTTTTAAATATTTAGGGCGTTTAAATAATAACGGCTGAATTTTTTTTAGCTTAAACTTTCAGATACGTTAAAGAGGACCTTTCTCTAGATATGGTATATAGTTTTCACAAATTTGAGCAAAACCATTTTCGACCTACAAAATGAGCGGAATGTCTTTAAGTTTGAAAATAACGATATTTTGTTTTTTAAGAAATTTTAAAGTTTGATCTGTGTATCCAATTGATGCAATTCGAAATAAATGTGTATGTTGATGAGACCTTGTCCATGTTTGATTTTATTTTCTAAGCCATAGCTTTGACCAATAAAATATCTTCACGATTTTGAGAAAATTTATTTTCAAGTCACTAAACCTTATCATTTCTGACTATATTATGTCATATCAGGGACCAGGTAATAAATATTCAATTGATATTTCTCCATTCAATAATCCACACGTTTCCTAATAATAATACAGCTCGAGACATATATCGTACATATTATGAAAATGGGAAACGTCTCTCGTATGAAGTGAGCCACTCAACTTTCGATTTAGACGACGCCTTTTCATTAGTAATGTTTTTGATTTATTTTTTTAGGACAAGGCTTAGATAAAATAGTGGAGGGGATGCTACATGATTCTAGTCAAGAAGTAGATCTAAAATTTAGTCAAGATCTTCTCGAGTTGTTTAAGGCCAGAAAATTTGGTGGAAACGATCTTGTTGCATTGGATATACAGAAGGGACGAGAACTTGGCTTACAACCGTATAACGTATTCCGTTCACAATGTGGCCTTCCAAGCTTAACCTCGCTTGATGCTGGAACGAATCAAACTAATATATTGAAAAAGGCTTACTCGTAAGTATCTATCAAGACATGAGTCTTAATTTCCAAATCTTAATTAAATTCCTAGATGGCAAAGTGGGAACAAGAAGGAAGGGTGTGGGGAGGGGGGGGGGGGGGGGCTTGGTAAGTGA